GATGGGGAAGGAGAGTGAGTGGCCAATGAGGCTGACAGGGAGGAGTGTTCTCTTAGCAGGGAAGATGGAGCCCCAGAGGATCTAGGAGGGGCCAGAGCCAACCAGTTGGGCACCTTCTCATTGCTGAAGTCCCCCAGCCACCCTTCCTGGGACCCTGGGGCTCCGGTTTATCAGCAGCTGACTCCACAGCTGCTGGGAAGTGGTTCCTCGACAGTGGCCCCCTGGCTCCTGACTCCGTTTATTTCTGGAGTCACAGCTGAGTCATGGGGATGGGGAAAGTGAATGGGGCTGAAGGGAGGGGACTTTGAAGCTGGGAGGGGAGGACACTATTGGGGGAAGAGAGCTCTAGGATCTGGGCTCTGGATCCTGGGGTCCACTCTTTGGGACAAGAGGGACTGGTGCTACAGCATCAAGAGCAGGTGTTAGGGCCCAGCCAGCAGTTGAGCGTTGACCTAGGATCCAGATCGCAGTTTGATTCTGGATGAGGGCACATGCCCGGGTTGTGGCTTGATCCCCAGTCAGGGGCGTGCAGGAGGCAGCCGATCAATGACTCTCTCATCATTGATGTTTCTCTCTCTCTCTCTCTCTCCTTTCCTCTTTCTCTGAAAAGATATATTTTTAAACCCCCCCCCCCAAAAAAAACAACAAAAAACAAGTGTTAGGTGACAGGAGGGACATCCACACTGGAGAGCCTGGAATAATGGGCTTGAGGAAGGAGTGGGGAGCAGGAGGCAGAGTCTCCTGCTCCAGAAATGCTGGCAAAGAGGCAAGCCTGACCTGAGTGTTGGGGTACTGGGTTAGAAAGAGGGGAGAGGGAACGGGGCTCCCAGAGTGGATGGAAGCATATGGGATCTCAGAGCGCTGCGAGGAAACAGGACCGTGGTTTCCTCTACGCTCCACTGCAGACTCTATGGACCCTCACCCCAGGCCATTCTGTCTCTCTTCTTGCCCCCGAGCCAAGTCGTCCCTTCCCTGATCAGGTGACTTGAGACTCTCCTCATATCTTTCTAAGGTGGGCCTGTGGACTCAGGAACAGGTGCCTGGGTCCTTTCTTTATTCACAAGAAGCCTGTTCTTTTCCCACCTACTATGAAGATCCACCCTGCTGCAGGAGCCCTTCCAGAGCTTAGCCTCCCCTCTGGGCTGGGGGCAGGGCCCCATAAGGACATAGGAGCCTGTCCTCAGCCCAGAGCCCTCTTGGGTTTCCTGAGCTTGGGTGGGTTGGTCTACATTCCCTCCCCTCTCTGTGAGCAGCCTCAGAGAGCACATTCCAGTTGAAATTAAATCACATTCTTCTTTCCCTGCCTGGCAAGAATGGCATAGCTGACAGCAGCTGTGACACCACAGGGTCAAGTGGCAGCAGCTGGTTCCCCAAAGAGGGGCTGAGAAGGGGGAGCTGAGGGGAGCTGAGGGGAGCTGAGGGGAGCTGAGGAACCAGGGCCTTTGGAAGTAGTGAATGAGTCTTTGCTCTCAAGAGTCCACAGCAAGAGGGGCAGCCCCTGCAGCAGAAGGGATAAAGGTGAGACCACAGGGTGTCAGAGCTGTGCGGAGCTTCAGAGGATGAGCCAATTATGCAGATGAGAAAACCAGGGTCCCCGGCACTACTTTCCAAAAGGACCCTGAAGGACACCCTCTCTCCATCCCTGAACTGGGCCCCCACAACAGACATGAAGGCTCAGGGGCCCTTTAAGAGGCCCCACTCTGAGCTCCCTTGGCTGGAGCCCAAAGTCTCAGCCTTTGATTTCCTCTGAGACTCTGGCAGCCACAGGGACAACAGGGACAGCATCAGGCTGGGCTGAATGGAGAGCTCAGCCCTGACCTCACCCTCCATGGCCTTCAGCCTGCACAGCCTTATAAGGAAGTGCCCCAAACAAATGAGGAAGCCACCTAGGGAGGGGGGCCCAGGCCCACCCTGCCCCCACCCCACTCAGAGGCTATGTTTACCCAGAGGAGGCCCTAAAATAACCTCCCACTTGTCCTGCTGGTGGAGAGAGTGTGCGGTCTCCTCATTCCCTTCTCTGGAGGGGACGCCACCCTCCAAAGTGCTTCCTGTTGTCAGACTTCATCTCGGTCATTCATTCCTTCATTAGTTCATTTATCCAATCCAAATTTCCTGAACACCCTTGGTAGTAGGCTGGACAAAGGCCTTGTTTTCTGGAGCTTTCTACAATGGCAGGATCCTCCCAGGTGCCACAGTCCCCTGGATCTCCTATTCTCTGGCCTCTCTTCCTGCCCCTGCCCAAGTGTTTCCTCTGCCAGGAGTTTGCTGGGGGCTCTGTATGGGTGATCTCAAGGCCAGCAGCCCTCCAATTCTTGTCTCCAATCTGATCCTCTCTCCTGAGCTTCATATCTTACCCTCCATGAGGGCAGTTCCTCTTGGAGCTCACAACTTCCTGCTGGATTCTTCAGCTCAGAGATGGGACCACTGTCTCCCAGCTGCCCAGGCACTGCCATATCCCCCTATCTCCCACAGTGGATCACGAGTCCTGAGACTCTGCTGCTCTTTTATGCCTCCTCTCCGTCCCCCTGCCAACATACCCGGACTGTTGCAGTAGCCTCCCTGAAGCACCCCTGCCCATTCCAGGCCATGCTCACAGTAACCAGAAGGGTTTTTTAAAAATGCAAACCTGGCCTTGGCCATTGTGGCTCAGTTGGGTGGCCGTTGTTCAGGGAACATGCCTGGGTTGCAGGCTTGATCCTCAGTAGAGGGAGTGCAGGAGGCAGCCAATCGAAGTTTCGCTCTCACATCTATGTTTCTCTCTCTCTCCCCCTCTCCCTTCTTCTCTCTCTAAAATTCAATTTCAAAAATCTTAAAAAAAAAAAGCAAACCTGGATTTTTGCTCCTCAGCAGCTCCTCATATCCCTCAGGGAGAAGTCCATACTTTCTGGCTGCCTGGCAAGGCCTCGGCCACTGACCCCCACTCGCTCTCCAGTCTCACTATCAATCTTCTCCCTTGTCTCCACCCTCTGGCCACACAAGCCATCTTTCTGTTCTTCAAATGCACAAGCTTCCCCCTCCTGCCCCAGGATGGTGCACATGGTGTTCCCTCTGACCAGAATCCTTTTCCTCCCTCCTCCCACCACTGAGCAGCTCCTGCTCACCCTTCAGGTTCTTAGGGTAGCCTTCCCTGGCCGCCTCCTTCAGCCCAGGTCAGGCGAGGTCCTCTGCTCCTTGCTCCCCTTACTTCCTGCACTTCTCTGTTTTCAAGCCCTTGTTCAATTAGAAGATAAAGCTTCATGAGCGAGGAACCCTCGACTCCCGGTGCCTGCATAGTGCATGGCACATAGTAGATGCTTAGTAAATATTTGTCGAAAAATGGCATTCGCTCCTGTTCTCAGCACCAGGAATATCTCTGTTATTGTCAAGCCTGCATTTCTCTTGCTGTGTAGACAGATGACCATTTCCAGAGAGAACACACCTACCATCACATACCCCCTTTAGGAAAGTCCTCACTTTTGTTAACTTACGTCCTTCCTTATTGAGGATTGTTAGCAGAATCAGCTAGTCTGGATAACTCTGCGGGGAACCAGGGACCCTGGTGTGTGGGACAGGATGGTCACCCAGGCAGAGAGAAGGACTGCTCTTGGCTTGGCCTCTTCCTTGGTCCCTTGCCCAGGCGGAGGTGCCCAAGGGCCCGGGGAGATCATGCACAGGGCTCTTGTGTCCTGTTAGAGGGTCAGGGAGTGGGCCTTATTTGCCTGTATGCCAGTGTTCTGGTCCCCACCCTGGCACACAGGGCCTTGTTAGTGGTGAGTACAGGAAGGAGAGTGTGGGCTTGGGCTGCCAGAAGGGTGGGGAGGGACAGAACCTTGGACCCCGAGGGCAGGGGTGTGTGTGGAATGGGGGCCTGAGTGCCCAAGACAGAGACTCCCAGATAGAGGAGAAAGGCACAGGCAGAGAGGCAAACAGTGAGACTCTGTCAGGGGGCCTCCTGTCCACCCCCCCTTGGCCAGAGGACATAAATTGGGGCCAGATCGGCTGAGGCTTCATCCTTTCATCTTTCCCAGGCCCTCAGCCTGTTCCCAGACTTGAGATTGTCTCCAAACATGGAATATTTGTTTGGCAGCCCCTATCCCACCCCCACCAAAGATATTTAGAAGTGTCGCCAGATCTTCTGTCCCCACTGAGCTGAACTGGGGAGTGGCTTCTATTTGGGTGTCCTGACTTCAAAGCCTTCAGGCCCCACCTAATCCAGGAACCTCTGGTCCCTTCCTGCCTTATACAGGGACCCAGAAAACTCCTGGAAAGGGGGCAGGGAGTGGAGAGAAGCTGTGGCTTTGTGCTCCTCACCCTCTGTCTACCCCAGTTACCAACACAGCCCTTAGCTCTTCAGTCTCTCCCCCTTCTCACTTCCACGTTCCTGGCTTCCCTGTCTCCTGCATCAGCAAGTGAGGAAAGAACCACTCAGGGTCAAAGCTGCAGCCCTCTGGCTTCCCCTAGCCTTCCTCCTGCTTTCCCTGCACTGGAAGGCCCCCCAAGTCACCCAGCGCAGCACCCTTCTTGTGTGGCTGAGTGTGAGATTCAGAGAGATTTAAGGCTGACCTGGGGCCACACAACCATAAGGCAGAAGAGGCCTCCTCTTTCCTCACCCCACTCTGACCCAGCCAGCCCATGCAGACATCACAGGCCAGACAACTGTTTGGGTTTGGGGGCAAAGGGGCTTATTATGCTGGCGGCACTGAGGGCAGGGAGAAGGACAGGCAAAAGTGGGGGTGGCACAAGTCCTATTCCCTGTAATCAGCCCTGTGGCAGAGATGATGACCGCCTGCATGCTCAGGCACTGAGATCACCTGGATTGGAACCCCAGGCCTCCCTGGGGTCCCAGCACTGCTGCCTGCAGCCTTAGTCCATCTGCCTTGTCCTCCCATGAGGCCTCCCAGGCCTCCTCTCTTCAGGAAGCAGCCCCTCCCAACACCAGCACCTCCCGATGCTTCCCCAGTCTCCCCAGCTCCTGTGCTGGCCCCGAGGACCCCCTGAACTGGGGAAGAAAGAAATCAGACTTTGTCGGTAGAAGCATTACTTTATTCAAGCAGTGACGAGCTAGACAGGGCCACATGGGGCAGGAATATGGGGGGTCAGGACACAGGAGCAGACACCCCATAAGGGTGGAGAGTGAGGAGAGGCAGGGCTGGTGAACCCCAGCACAAAGGCCACCACAGCCACCCTCTCCTTGGAGGAGCCGCAGGGCCCCAGGCCTTTTCCAGCTAAAGGAATGAGGGGGAAAGGGGGTGCAAGGAAAAGGGGCCTAGTCCTATAGGGGTTCAGCTGGCTTAAACCTCACGGGACAATGCAGGCAGCGTGTCCCCTTTGCAGGGTCTGAGGGGCTGGTTTTTATTCCTGGAGCCTCCATTCTTGGAACAGCTGTCCCTTTTCCACACCCATTTCACTTTGGCCAGCCAGGCCGCTCGGATGGATACCACAGGACAGGAGATCATAAGTTAAGGTGCTGGCCCTGAGCAGGGAGGGGGCTTGGGGACATGTCCCCACTAAAGTTCGAAGTGCAGGATGAGCACTGTCTCTAATCCTCCCCTGAGGACCATGAATCCCCATCTCCTTCCCGCTGTGTGAACTTCAGGAACTGGCCTGGGCCCAGATGAAGAGGAATGGCTGCAGAAGGGGTCTTCAGGGCACCCCCCTCCTCCTCTTCCAAAGGGCTCCCTTGGTCCCCCTCAAGGGCCCCCAGTTTTCCCTGCCCCGCTCCTTCAGACTGCTCCACCCCATTCACCAACCCCCCATTCACATGCTCCAACTCTTTCTTCAGGCTGGGGCCCTGGCCATTGACACCAGGGGTATCCTCTGTCCCACTGAGGGTCCCCAGAGGGCCAGGAACTTGGTCCTCCCCCTCCAAGGGAGCATCGTCAGACTCTTCCTCTGAGCCGGAGGGCTCAGTGCTGTCCTGGGACTCAGTCTCTAGGGCTGTCGTAGGGGGATCAGCTGCTGCACCCCTGGAGCCATCATCCCAGGGGGCGCTGACATCCACAGCCTCAGACCCCAAGGGGTTGCTGCTCTGAGCGCTGCTCAGGGCAGGAAGGCTGCCAGCAGAGGGCCCTGGCTCCCACTGCCCGGCCCCTGGCTCCCCTCCCTCCTCTTCCTCTTCCTCCTCTTCCTCCTCTCCACTTTCTTCCTCATCTGCAAACCCATCAGACTCCCCATCCTGACCCCAGGCTGCAGGCTCCAGGAGCACCTGGGACACCTGGCCCAGGGGCTCCATCAATTCCCCAGGGACCCCAGGAAGGACAGAAGCCTCAGTCCCCACGTTGTTCTCAAATTCCTCCGACAGGTCAGAGTCCTGGCCACATTCCTGACCCTCATCTCCCCCCCTCTCCTCCTCTTCCTCCTCTGGATGGGTCCCTTGGCCCTCAGGGGTCAGGACAGCAAAATCCCAGCCTTCCCTTCTGGTCTCGCCTTGAGGGGAGGGCCTCTGCTCTCCAGCTGGGTCCCACTTGGATGAGGCAGGGGAACTGAGGTAGAGGGCCAGGGGAGTGGAGTCAGGAAGGGTCTCTCCCAGCTCATCAGCCTCGCTCTCATCTCTGCTCTCCTCCGCCTCATCCTGGAGGGCCGGAGGGAGCCCCCCAGGACCCAACTCCTCCTCCTCGCCCCCCACCTTTTCCAGGGCCTCAGCCCTTCCTGTCAGCCCCCAGCTAGCCTCCTGGTTCCCTTCAGCTGGGGGCTGGGACTCAGGGGCATCTTTGGGGATTAGGGTGAGCAAACAGGGCTCAGGGGGCCTTGGGTTGGAGGGCCCTGGCACTGGTTCTGCATCCTTCTCAGCTTCCTCTGACCCCAGGGGCCTGGGTTGAGGGGTATCACTTCCATCATGGCACAAGGTCTCAGCAGGGAACTCCTCCTCTTCTCCCCAGGGGACCTCAGGCTCCAACTTCTCCCCAGTCCCGTGAGACTCCAGAGAGTCTCTGCTCTTCCTGAGCAGTATGGGAAGCTCTGGCTCCAGAGCAGCATCCTCCTCTAGGTCCTTTCCAGGCCTTCCCAAGCCCTGCACCCTCTTTGCCTCCAAACCTTCTTCCCCCAGGAGAGGCTCCATCACCTCCTCTCTGGCCAGGTGGCCTGGGAACTCCAAGCCTACCACCTCCTCTTCCAGTCCCTGCTCAGCTCCTGAAGCAGACTCACCCATGGCTGTCTCCAACCCCAAAGTGACCTCTGGGGAGACTTGGTCACCCCCTGGGGCCTCATCCTCATTTTCCAACGCTGGCTCTATCACCTCTGACATTCCCCAGGGAACTTGAAGGCCTGGGTCCCCCATGTTCTCTGGCTGCCCTTCAAGGTCCTGAAGGCCCTCACCACCTCCCTCCCTACTGGTGCCCTCAGCTGGATCCCTCTGCTCTTTGGGCTCTGGGCTCCCTGGGTGTCCCTCACCTGTGCTCCAGGCGCCCCCTGCGACAGTTAGCTGCAGCTCTCCCTCCTCTGCAGATTCCTCTTTTCCAGAGAAGCCATCACATTCCCTCAGGTCCAGCTCTGCCTCATCCTCATTGCCCACTCCAGCCCTCCCAGAGGGCATTTCCTGATCCAATTCTTGGCTCTCCACCATATCTTCCCACCTCTGCTGATCCGCAGACAGCAGCAGCTCCTGTCCCTCCTCTTCCAGAGGTCTCAGCGACTCTTGGTTCTCTGCCTTCTCCAGGTTCTCTTCCTCTTCCAGGTACTTTTGACTTTCCCTGTCTACCTCTTCCGGAGATCTCAAACCTAGGTTCCACTCTCCCAGAGATAGAGATTCTTGATTCTCCTTTTCTAGGGGTTTCAATGACTCTTGGTTCTCTTCCACAGACCCCAGTGGTTCTTGGATTTCCTTTTCTAGAGGTTTCATTGTCTCCCCATTCATTTCTTCCGGAGACCACAATGGCTCTTGAGTTTCTGTAGACTTTAATATTTCCAGATCCTCTCCTGAAGACTTTATTGATTCTAGATTCTCTGTTTCTAAACATCTTACTGCCTCTACACTCTCTTCTTTTAGGGGCCTTAATAACTCTTGATTCTCTTTTTCAAGAGGTCTAAATATCTCCTGGTCTTTTCCAAGAGATTTCAGTGGCTCTGGTTCCACCTTTTCCAGAGGTCTCAATATCATTTGGTCTTCTCCTAGAGACCTCAGTGGCTGTTGAGTCTCTTTTTCTAGAGGTCTCATTGTCTCCTGGTTTTCATCTTCTGGAGACCTCAGTGGTTCCTGGTTTTCTTTTTCTGGAGGTCTTTTTGTTTCTTGGTCCTCTTCTTCTAGAGACCTCAGTGGTTCCTGGTTCTCTTTTTCTAGAGATCTCAAGGTTTCTTGATTCTCTTCCTCTAGAGACCCCAGTGGTTCCTGGTTCTCTTTTTCTAGAGATCCCAAGGTCTCTTGATTATTTTCTTCTAGAGACCTCAGTGGTTCCTGGTTCTCTTTTTCTAGAGATCCCAAGGTCTCTTGATTATTTTCTTCTAGAGACCTCAGTGGTTCCTGGTTCTCTTTTTCTAGAGATCCCAAGGTCTCTTGATTATTTTCTTCTAGAGACCTCAGTGGTTCCTGGTTCTCTTTTTCTAGAGATCCCAAGGTCTCTTGATTATTTTCTTCTAGAGACCTCAGTGGTTCCTGGTTCTCTTTTTCTAGAGATCCCAAGGTCTCTTGATTATTTTCTTCTAGAGACCTCAGTGGTTCCTGGTTCTCTTTTTCTAGAGATCCCAAGGTCTCTTGATTATTTTCTTCTAGAGACCTCAGTGGTTCCTGGTTCTCTTTTTCTAGAGATCCCAAGGTCTCTTGATTATTTTCTTCTAGAGACCTCAGTGGTTCCTGGTTCTCTTTTTCTAGAGATCCCAAGGTCTCTTGATTATTTTCTTCTAGAGACCTCAGTGGTTCCTGGTTCTCTTTTTCTAGAGATCCCAAGGTCTCTTGATTATTTTCTTCTAGAGACCTCAGTGGTTCCTGGTTCTCTTTTTCTAGAGATCCCAAGGTCTCTTGATTATTTTCTTCTAGAGACCTCAGTGGTTCCTGGTTCTCTTTTTCTAGAGATCCCAAGGTCTCTTGATTATTTTCTTCTAGAGACCTCAGTGGTTCCTGGTTCTCTTTTTCTAGAGATCCCAAGGTCTCTTGATTATTTTCTTCTAGAGACCTCAGTGGCTCTTGATTTTCTTTTTCTAGTGCTCTCAAGGACACAAAGTTCTCCCCTTCTACAGATCTCACTAATTCTTGATTTTCCTTCCCTGGATATAAAAATGTCTGTAGATTATCTTCAAGAGATCTCATTAGTTCTTGATTCTCCTTTTCTAGTGATTGCAATGTCTGTGGGTCCTCTTTTCCTATAGGCTTAAGTAGTTCTAGAGTTTCTTTTTCTAGAGTTCTTACTACCTCCATGTCCTTTTCTTCTAAAGACTTCAATAGTTCTTGATTCTCCTTCTCTAGAGATCTCAGTATCTCATGGCTCTGTTTTTCTGGAAACATCAGTGGTTCTTGAATTTCCTCTTCCAGAGACTTCAGAGTTTCTTTTTTCAAAGGACCCTGGGAGTCCTGGATTTCTTTCATGTCTGGATCCCCCTCTTCTTGCTGCATTTGCTGCTGCAAGCTGCTTACCACTTTGACCTCTATGGCTATTTCTTTCTCTGTCAGCTCCCACATTTGCCCTTCACCTTCCTCCTGGAATCTGCTGGACACTCTAGTCTCACTGGGTTCTCCATCTCTGGCCTCTAAACTGGGGTGATCAAGGCTAAGGGGTGGGGCCAAGGAAGCATGATCCTCAGGGAACTTGTCTGTACTGGACTTTTGCTGCTTGCCCCCAGGCTCCTCTGGTCCTGGCAGGATGCTGGCAGGAATGGCTACATTGGCTTCAGCCCACTGTTGCCTCCCAACCTCTGGTTGGGGCACAGCAAGAGGGGCATCTTGGACTCTGATCTCTCCATCTGTAGCAGGGCAGGGAGCCTGAGGTGTGGGTGGGATTGGGGTGCTGGCCAAGGTGGGGATACGGGTCTGGAGAAATTCCTGGCTCTTCAGAAAGACTGGAACAGGTGTCTCAAGGGTATCAGGTAAGGGTAAGGAGAGGGGAGTAGGGCCCAGGACAGAGAGCAAAGGTCCTAGACGCTGGCCCTCTGGGGTCCCAGGAAAATGAAGCTCCAGCTTGGAGTCTGGAAAGGTGGAGGAAAAGAAACGGTGTCAGTAAGTACTGGCAGGAGGGATGTGGCCACAGAGCAGTTACCATTTCTGGCAAGAGTGTCCATGGGCCCTGTCCTTTCCTCCCACTTTCTGAGCTGTTGGGGGCCAAGGAGTCAAGACCTAGGCTGTTGCCTCTCAAGAAAGGAATGGGGTATGAAAAACAAAGAAAGGTAGAGTTTTAGGGAGGGGAAACCTGGCTCCAACTCTTACCATGGAAGCTGAAGGAAGCCTTGGAACCACCACCAGGTAACTGCAGTCGGGAGTTCTCAGCCTCTAGGAGGGTCCTAGGGATGAGGAAAACTTGGGTGAGCCCTGTCCACAGGCCAGTAAGCAAACCAGCCAGAAAAAACCCCCTGACCTTGCAGGCTTCCTCTTCATTTTTGCCACTATCACATGAAAGCCACAGGTGGGGTTATACTTGGCTGTGTACATGAAATCACATAATCACATATCCAGACATCACACACTTGGTCACACAGCATCACACACATATTTGGGACACACAGATGAGCTCACAGACACACAAGCAGATTCCCACACAGCAGACACAGTGTACACACACACACACACACACACACACACACACACACACATATATTGCTCAGACTAGTCTCCTCCTGCCCACCCCAGGCCAATGACCTCATACTCTGTGTGTGGGGCCCATTCTCATGCTAATAGCTGCCATTGTCCACACCACCATCTGGAGGGTCTGAGGAGGGGGCTTCCCAGGGGAAGTGGGAATTCTCAGGCTGTTCCCATGGGATAGGCTCCCTCCTCCTCCCCCAGGGCCCCAGGAGCTAGTCACAGAAAAAAAAACAAAAGAATTCATCCAAATCCTTTTCAAGCCTCAAAAACCCAGAGGTTAAGCCTTCCGCAGACCCTTTCCCTCAGTGGTTGGGTTGGGGTCAAGGCCCTCATCTTGGGATCTCTAAGTACTCTGGATCCCAAGCCTTTCAGGGCAATGGAGGTCTTTGTGTTCATGCCCCTGCCTCAGTGCCCACTGGGGACTGAGGAGGAGGGGACCAATAGGGGGAGGGGGAAACAACTGATTCAACAGCTTATGCTGAACATCGACTCTCAATGCTTCCTCCAGATCTCTGAGTCTGGTTAGTACTGTCTGTGGTCTCACCTCCATCTTCTCCAGGCAGCATCCTGCCCTCTGAGCTCATGCAACACTCACTCATCCCTGGGTCCTCACTGACCTTCCACTCTGGGCCCTGCTTCCCCTCCCCTCCAGAACCTGTCCTAGGACCCCTGCTTTTGTTTGCCTGTGGATTCTGGGGAGCACTGTCTTCATAGCTTGTCTAGCCCTGGCCCTCACAGTGGGTTTGGTGTACGAAGCCCTACATGGTCAGCCAACCAAGTCAGTTTCCCGGAAAAGGCTGTGAGTTTGCCCAAGGCCACACGGCCAGAGAAGCAGCCCTTGCAGCAGTCGCAGCCTTTCCTGAGCCAACAGGAAATGTGGCTAGCAGAAGGGCTGTGGGGCCAAGGGACTAGGATTTGAGAATTGTCAGGCCCCAAGACATTCAGGATGGAAGGGGCCTTGAAGGTCACCCAGCCCATCTTCCATCTTCCAAACAAGGAGACTTGTCAGTGCAAACCAGTGCCAGCTACCCACACCTGCAGTTCCTCCTTTCTGAGGTTGCCCAAGTCAGTTGCCTCCTTAGTGTGAGCACATACACACACAGACAGGGCTTTCCAGCCCCTTGGGGTTAGGGTCTGGATACAGATGCCCCACACATGTCCTGCCCTCTCTCATCTGGCTGCCCCACTCAGCAATATCACCTCTCCTTGGGGGGTTCCTGGGCACAGGCTACGTCTCTGGTCCTGAACCCATAGAGGATTAAGTGGGTTCAGATGGGAAATATCTTGGTGTGAAAGGGATCAGCCTAGAGTCACAGAACCTAATGGTGGCAGAACTGCCACCACCCATGGCTCTGGACGCCTTCAGCTGAGGAGCTTCCACCCTAGCCTGTATGTACGTGTACATCTGTATGTCCGGGTGGGTCAGGGTGAACCTGTACCTGTATGTGGCCACCTCCAGGCTGAGGGACATCTTGAGGTGTGCCAGCTGCTGCCGACCTTCCAGGACCTGGGCAATCTGACTCTGTAGGTCCTGTTTCTCCTGCTCCAGCGCCTCCACCGCCAGCTGCAGAGCAAGCCAGAGGCAGTCAGTAAAGGGCGGGGTCCCTGGCTGCTGCAGCAGCACCTTCTGCTCCTGACTTCTCTGTTGAGCAGATTCCTGTCTCCCTATCCCACTCCCTGCCCAGAGAAGCCCCTCTAGAGCCTCCAAAAGAGCATGAGGGCCCCTCTCAGCCCTCTCCCATGGGGCTCCTCCTCTGAGGATGCTGATTAAATGGTTACACATGCTTTCAGAATTCAGCTTCCACAGGAAGGGGGACATGAAGGAGGGGAGGAGATGGGTTACAGAGAGGAGGAGAGGGGGGGAAAGGAGGGAAGCAGAAGGAAAAACGATTAATCAAGAGGCCTGGAGCTTGCAGGACTGAAAGCCAAACTGCCCTAGTCCCAATCACTGTCTTTTGCTCCTCACACCAGGCTCCCACCCCCTCCACTTCCCACATGTTCTGGAATCTGTCTCCTCTGAGAGGAGAGTTGGGGAGGTGGCCATGGTGAGACCTCTGTCTGGCCCAGCAAGGGAGCTGTTTTCTCAGTTGCTGGTCACGTCTGTGTAGTGAGGGGGAGCAGCTGTCCCAGGCTTCTGGAATGTGCTCAGGGAGTTAAGAAGCCACGACATGGGACAAGGGCAGATGGCCCCTCCTGCAGGGCCCCTCACCCCCACCTGTCAGGGGGATAAGGGAGGTGAGGAACGTTGGAGATTCTGAGTAGCAGGACCATAAGGCAGCACTGAGAAGGAAAGTTCTGGCATCTTGCCAGTGACCGCAGAGCCTAGGGGGGGGCCCAGAGGCCATCAGAGCGGGAAGGTGCTGCATGCGTCTTGGGCCTGTCTGCTGTTCCAGGCGGTCTGATTTGAGGGCTCTGAACGCCACCATTCCCACCCTACTCAGGGAGTTGTGAAAGTCTAGGGCCTCTGGCACCAGCTATGAGTTTTCTAAGAAGCAGTCCCTGAATGGGCAGCCATCTCCACCCCCACTTCCCACTCCCTTCCCCAGAGCGTTTCTGAGCCCCGTGGGGACTTTTCGAAGCCGTGTTCCGCCCAGGCCCCCACCTCCTCACCTGGAACTTCTCAGTGGCACTCAGTTGCTCCTGCCAGCGGCCCTCCAGTCTCTGCTCCAGGGCTGCCCTGCGCTCCTGGAGGCCGCCGTGCTCGGCCTGGAGCTGCTGCAGCTCCAGGCGTCCCTTGCGGGCGCCCTGCGCCACGCGATCCAGCCTCTGGCGGGCCTGGCCCAGCGCTGTTTCCATGTGCGCCACGCGCTCCTGGTAGCCGCGCACGGCCCCGCGCCACGCCTCGCCGAGCAGTCGCGCGAGCTCCTCAAC